AGTGTGATGTCACGCAGAGTGATGACGCACAGAGTGATGACGCACAGAGTGATGACACACAAAATGGTGACACACAGAGTGACAGAGTGATGACACACAGAGTGATGACACACAGAGTGGTGACACACAGAGTGATGACACACAGAGTGACAGAGTGGTGACGCACAGAGTGATGACACAGAGAGTGATGACACACAGAGTGATGACACAGAGAGTGATGACGCACAGAGTGGTGACACACAGAGTGATGACACACAGATTGACAGAGTGATGACACACAGAGTGATGACGCACAGAGTGATGCCACACAGAGTGATGACACACAGAGTGATGACACGCAGAGTGATGACGCACAGAGTGATGATGCACAGAGTGGTGATGCACAGAGTGATGACGCACAGTGTGATGACACAGAGAGTGACAGAGTGATGACATACAGAGTGGTGGCACACAGAGTGATGACGCACAGAGTGGTGACGCACAGAGTGATGACGCACGGAGTGGTGACGCACAGAGTGATGACGCACGGAGTGGTGATGCACAGAGGGATGGCGCACAGAGTGATGACGCACGGAGTGTTCATGCACAGAGTGATGACGCACAGAGTGGTGACACAGAGTGACAGAGTGATGACGCACAGAGTGATGACGCACAGAGTGACAGAGTGATGACGCACAGAGTGATGACGGACAGAGTGATGAAGCACAGAGTGATGACACACAGAGTGATGACACACAGAGTGATGACGCACAGAGTGACAGAGAGATGACGCACAGAGTGATGACACACAGAGTGATGGCACACAGAGTGATGACGCACAGAGTGATGACGCACAGAGTGATGCCACACAGAGTGATGACACACAGAGTGATGACGCACAGCGTGACAGAGAGCTGACGCACAGATTGATGACACACAGAGTGATGACACACAGAGTGATGACACGCAGAGTGATGACGCACAGAGTGATGACGCACAGAGTGATGACACGCAGAGTGATGACGCACAGAGTGATGACGCACAGAGTGATGACACACAAAATGGTGACACACAGATTGACAGAGTGATGACACACAGAGTGATGACACACAGAGTGGTGACACACAGAGTGATGACACACAGAGTGACAGAGTGGTGACGCACAGAGTGATGACACAGAGAGTGATGACACACAGAGTGATGACACACAGAGTGATGACGCACAGAGTGGTGACACACAGAGTGATGACACAGATTGACAGAGTGATGACACACAGAGTGATGACGCACAGAGTGGTGGCACACAGAGTGATGACACACAGAGTGATGACACACAGAGTGGTGACACACAGAGTGGTGACACACAGAGTGATGACACACAGAGTGGTGGCACACAGAGTGATGACACACAGAGTGATGACGCACAGAGTGATGACGCACAGAGTGATGACACACAGAGTGGTGACACACAGAGTAATGACACACAGAGTGGTGACACACAGAGTGATGACACACAGAGTGATGCCGCACAGAGTGATGACACAGAGTGATGACGCACAGAGTGACAGAGTGATGACACGCAGAGTGGTGACACACAGAGTGGTGACACACAGAGTGATGACACACAGAGTGACAGAGTGATGACACACAGAGTGATGCCACACAGAGTGATGACACACAGAGTGATGACGCACAGCGTGACAGAGAGCTGACGCACAGATTGATGACACACAGAGTGATGACACACAGAGTGATGACACGCAGAGTGATGACGCACAGAGTGATGACGCACAGAGTGATGACACGCAGAGTGATGACGCACAGAGTGATGACGCACAGAGTGATGACACACAAAATGGTGACACACAGAGTGACAGAGTGATGACACACAGAGTGATGACACACAGAGTGGTGACACACAGAGTGATGACACACAGAGTGACAGAGTGGTGACGCACAGAGTGATGACACAGAGAGTGATGACACACAGAGTGATGACACACAGAGTGATGACGCACAGAGTGGTGACACACAGAGTGATGACACAGATTGACAGAGTGATGACACACAGAGTGATGACGCACAGAGTGGTGGCACACAGAGTGATGACACACAGAGTGATGACACACAGAGTGGTGACACACAGAGTGGTGACACACAGAGTGATGACACACAGAGTGGTGGCACACAGAGTGATGACACACAGAGTGATGACGCACAGAGTGATGACGCACAGAGTGATGACACACAGAGTGGTGACACACAGAGTAATGACACACAGAGTGGTGACACACAGAGTGATGACACACAGAGTGATGCCGCACAGAGTGATGACACAGAGTGATGACGCACAGAGTGACAGAGTGATGACACGCAGAGTGGTGACACACAGAGTGGTGACACACAGAGTGATGACACACAGAGTGACAGAGTGATGACACACAGAGTGATGACACACAGAGTGACAGAGTGATGACACACAGAGTGGTGACACAGAGTGACAGAGTGATGACGCACAGAGTGGTTACGCACAGAGTGATGACGCACAGACTGATGGCACAAAGAATGATGACACGCGGATCTTTGTCTTTGTTTTTTAGGTGTGTGTGTGAAAGACAAAGGCGGTCGTGTGTGGTACTGGCCACCCCCCCCTTGATAATCCTGCCGTCCTACTGCTGCTTGGCACTGGCAACAACAGAAACCTGTTGTTGCCAGTGCCAAGCACGTTTGTTTTAAACAAACCCCGCTTCAAGTAGCCGAGGTCAGACACTTCAGCTCTCGAATTTAACGCCACGGGATTTTGTAAATCTCTCCCCTCCCCCCCCCCCCCCATTTATTCCGTCTCTCGCACCCGCGCGTTTTAAGTGGATCCGAGCAGCGGGGTTCGATGCGGGGTGCTGATGATTAGCGGAGCGACCCGGGGGGGTGGGGGGTGGGGGCGCAATCTGTGGCCGGCTGCGGCGAGCGCGGCTGCCCGTGTGATGAGCCAGACGCGGAGGGTCGCTGGATCACCGCACCGATGGGTGTCGAGTAGGTGGCACGCCTGGGATCTGCCAGGAGAAGGCGGGGTCGAGCAAACAAATGTGGCCCCTACCCACCCCCCCCCCTCCCTCCTTCCACCAGCCGGCGTGTTTTGTTACGGGATCAAGCGTTGCCCCCTCGCACGCGTGGCGTTTTCTTTCCGGGCGATCCGCTTCCCCGCCCCCCCCCCCCACCTACCCCCCCCTCCCGCGTGTGAACACTCATTAGCGTGGCCGATAAACCCTCAGCACACAACAGGACCGCGGAGCTTGGGCAATCGTTGGTGCCAGCTCGTCCCTGCCAGGTTTCCGCTGCCCTTCCGCTCGCCGTTGCTTTCCTCCTCGTCCTCCTGTCGCCTGCGAGTCTCTCTCTCTCTCTCTCGACGCGTTACAGGTTGACACCATCATTGTTAGGCCACGTCTGCCGCTCGTTGCGAAGGGTACGCGGTTCGAAGGGGCCGGCGGCCGCCCCGGGGAATACTGCACGCGAGGCAAAGCGAACAACCCCCCCACCCCACCCCCCCCTACGAAGCTGCTGGGACGTGGAACGATTCCCTTGTGGCGTTTCTCGGCGACGCGGCCCCGAACTTGTCAGACGCGGGCAGTTACCTCGCAAACACAGTAACACGCAGCACTAACACACTATCACACTAACACACCACACTAACACACACACCACACTAACACACACCACACTAACACACCACACTAACACACACACACACCACATTAACACACACCATACTAACACACACACCACACTAACACACACACCACACTAACACACACACCATACTAACACACACACCACACTAACACACACACCACACTAACACACCATACTAACACACACACACCACATTAACACACACACCACACTAACACACACACCACACTAACACACCATACTAACACACACACACCACACTAACACACACACCATACTAACACACACCACACTAACATACACACCACACTAACACACACACACCACACTAACACACACACCACACTATCACACGAACACACACACACACCCATTAACACACACACCATACTAACACACACCACACTAACACACACACCACACTAACACACACACCACTAACACACACACCACCAACACACACACCACACTAACACATACACACCACTAAGACACACTACCACACTAACACACCACTAACACACACACTAACACACACACACCACACTAACACACACACTACACTAACACACCACACTAACACACACACCACACTAACACACACACACCACACTAACACACACACACCACACTAACACACCACACTAACACACCACACTAACACACACCACACTAACACACACACACCACACTAACACACACCACACTAACACACACACCACACTAACACACACACCACATACTACACTAACACACCACACTAACACACACACCACACACCACACACCACACTAACACACCACACTAACACACACCACACTAACACACCACACTAACACACACACCACACTAACACACACACCACACTAACACACACACACCACACTAACACATACAGCACACACCACACTAACACACCACACTAACACACACACCATACTAACACACACACCACACACCACACACCACACTAACACACCACACTAACACACACCACACTAACACACACACCACACTAACACACACACCACACTAACACACACACCACACTAACACACACACAACATACCACACTAACACACACCACACTAACACACACCACACTAACACACCCCGCGCCGACCAGCTGATAAAACTCACCCTCAACCCATTACTCAAACGACACGTTGTGGGGCATGCGGTGGAGGGTGACAGTGCGCCTGCTAACGCAGAGATCAAGGTAGATTATATCATCATCATCTTAGCGGAGGGAAGAGGGGGGGAGGAGATGTCACGGGGTTGAAGCGGCTCGGAGGGGAGTGAGTGCACGCGCGTGCGACGCGTGAGCACCAGACCTTTTTCAGCATTCGGCAGATGCGCTCCACCTTCCTTAGCCGCTCCATTTGCGTCTTTGCTCCGGCCACGTTGTGTGGGGTGAAGTGGGGGCGGGCGGGGGGTAGGGGAGGGGGGTCACGGAAGGCAAACGACAAGAAACAGACAACAGAACGGGCACGGTTAGACCGGCGTTGTGGTGTGGGCTTGCCTACAGGGAGAGAGGGAGAGAGAGAGAGAGAAGCTCCCCCATTGGAGGAGTCGAGGTTTTCTCTGGCTAGGGGGCCGTCCATAAATGACGTCACGCGATTTTGGACGATTTTTTACCCCCCCCCAATCCTCCCCATCGTCACACGGCGTCACAAAAAGTCAGACCCCCCCCCTCAAATATGACGTGACAAATCTCCCCCCCACAAAAAAAATAATATATTTCCATGCTTCATATCGCTTTAAACTATTGTCATTGTAGTGAGTATTTAATGTGGCGCTGCACTCTGATGTTGTAGGAGAAAACATTTATTAAAAAGTCTATTTAATTAAGTAGAACGTGTTGTCTATATTTATTTCAAATTGCACATTTTGATGTGACGTCACATTTCTTAACCCCCCCCCCCCTTCCTCGTCACACATCGTCACAAATGTCTGACCCACCCCCCCACCCAGGTGCGTGACGTCATTTATGGACGGCCCCTTAACGCGTGCTGGCCACGACTTTTGGCGGCCCCGCAAATCGACGGGTGCCACGGAGCGAACAGAGGCCAACGGCGGTTGATGGTTGGTTGCTCGTCACCTGGGCCACGTGCGTGACGCGAATGACGTCATTCGGGGGCCGTTGGTGGGGGCGGGGCATTGCGGTGTTGAACGTCACAAAAGAGGTTGCCGGCCCAGCGTGCTAGGTGCGATCTGAAGCCACGTGAAGTGTGGCGGGGTCGCTGCACACGTGATTGGTAGAAACTTTATCGATCCCCACCCCCCCGAAGAAGGGATGATGGGCTGAGTCAACCGCCACCAACTAGGATTTAAACTCTTCACATTAAGATTTCATTGGGACCTGCCCGCTCTCACGACCGCTGATTCACCTTGAGGTATACGTATATATATAAATACAAAAAACACGATGTAACATCAACAATATCTCACCAAAATAGATTTACCCTGTAGATATATTCTCGTTAATCCACCTCTTGCGCGGGTACTCCGTGCGTCCGGCTACCACGTGCTCTGCCAAAGGCGAGACCCCGACTTGCCCACCGCCATGATAATGTGGAATTTCTGTCCACCACCAGCAGAGATGAGCCCCCAAACCCATCGCTCGGTTTGAACCGGTAGATGCACTTTGAGTTGACCTAGGGGAGGCCCAGTTTCAGCTATTCGCCGACGCTGATTTTAGCCGTGACCGGGAATCGAACTCAGGTCGCTGGGGGTCATAACTGCTGCACATCTCCTCCCGACGTTGCTCATAGTGAACAAAAGACAAAGATCCCCCGTATAGCCTTCGCGGCCTTCGAAGGTGCCGCCTTTCGTAGGTGCTACTCGTTAACACCACTTGCCCCAACCAGTCTGTTAAGGCTATACGGGGGGATGATTGTCTCTGTTGATTGAGTGAGTGTGGGGTGTGTGTACGTTCTCGCCCTGTTCTACATGGGTTTACTCCGGGTTCCCTGGTTTTTTCCCCATTGCTAAAAACAAACAAACACACAAACACACAACGTGGCCACCATTGGCCACGTGCATTTATTTTATTTTTCCAGGCGAGGCCCAATTGAGCTACGTAGTTATTTTTCAGAAGCGACCTGGTCACAAACGATAGCTCAACGAAGTGGCTTATCATCACGTGGAAATGTATAGCAGTAGACAAATACTCTTAACGCGTGATGTTCATTCTATACGTGGAGGGAAAAACCGGTAGACCCGGAGAAAAATCCACGCGGGATCGAATCCACGACCTCCTGTATACCAGGCGAGGCAGTTAACATCTCCTAGCCACCCTGATGATGAGAGAGAGACACGCAACCTCCAAATATACAGCAGCAGGCGTCGTCAGGCCTGGGATCGAACACACGACCTCCTGTATACCAGGCGAGGTATTTAACATCTCTCTACTGCAGTGCCCCAATAATATTCCAATGCTTTAAAAACAACAATAGCTTGAAACGTACTCCATTGGGACTACACCTCAGCAGCAACAGCAGCAATATCAGCACCTTTCTCATGCAAAAACGGCTCGGCAAGACCCTCCTGAGAATGAGTCACGAGACTCAGTGAGGCTTCCCTGGGTCAACAAGCGAAATAATGCGATTGATAATGTGTTCATGTATGTGTCGGAGGTGCGAGATGTATCATCATCATCATCATCATCGTAAGAAACAACAACAACAACAGCAGCAGCCATGGATTATCCACTGGATGAAGGCCTCCTCACATAGTTGCCATCTCTCACGATGAAGCGATTCCCACCAGAGTCGAGTCTGTCGCTCCATCTCCCTCGCCGGGAAGTCCATTCCTCAGCCGCTATCTTCTACCAACTGTTTGCCAACTGTAAATATTCTATCTTATCGCCTTCCCCATGCGAATCTCACAGTAGCTGTTCCATCGTTATATATATATAACACATACATATTGACAATTTTAATATTAATGATAAATATAGTCATATTTGTTTTCCGAGGGCCTTGGCCGCGCTCGTTATCCGCAGAATCAAAAATGCTCCCTTTCCTAGCCCACAAAAGCCAGGCTTAGTCGTATGCGCTATTCATTTTATGTCTGTATGTGCGTGCCAATACTGGACACGCGTGCAATCAACGCACGCTCTGCGAGCCACAAGGGGAGCTATCCGATGACCGAGAGACGGGCGAAGCCCCGCAGCCAAAGTCGTGGTTTTGGCCTACTCTTCCAAACGGAAGAGTGATGGAGCCTACACGCATTTTACCCCACCGGGATCTGCGAGGACGTTATCGAGGCGAGTGGGGAGTTGGTGTGGGTGAGACACAGAGCGTGGTTGGTGTGGGTGAGACACAGCGGGGTTGGTGTGGGTGAGACAGAGCGGGGTTGGTGTGGGTGAGACAGAGCGGGGTCGGTGTGGGTGAGACAGAGCGGGGTTGGTGTGGGTGAGACACAGCGGGGTTGGTGTGGGTGAGACAGAGCGGGGTTGGTGTGGGTGAGACAGAGAGCGGGGTTGGTGTGGGTGAGACAGAGCGGGGTTGGTGTGGGTGAGACAGAGCGGGGTTGGTGTGGGTGAGACAGAGCGGGGTTGGTGTGGGTGAGACAGAGCGGGGTCGGTGTGGGTGAGACACAGAGCGGGGTTGGTGTGGGTGAGACACAGAGCGGGGTTGGTGTGGGTGAGACACAGAGCGGGGTTGGTGTGGGTGAGACAGAGCGGGGTTGGTGTGGGTGAGACAGAGAGCGGGGTTGGTGTGGGTGAGACAGAGCGGGGTTGGTGTGGGTGAGACAGAGCGGGGTTGGTGTGGGTGAGACAGAGCGGGGTTGGTGTGGGTGAGACACAGCGGGGTTGGTGTGGGTGAGACAGAGCGGGGTTGGTGTGGGTGAGACAGAGCGGGGTTGGTGTGGGTGAGACAGAGTGGGGTTGGTGTGGGTGAGACACAGAGCGGGGTTGGTGTGGGTGAGACAGAGCGGGGTCGGTGTGGGTGAGACACAGAGTGGGGTTGGTGTGGGTGAGACAGGGCGGGGTTGGTGTGGGTGAGACAGGGCGGGGTTGGTGTGGGTGAGACAGAGCGGGGTTGGTGTGGGTGAGACAGAGTGGGGTTGGTGTGGGTGAGACAGAGCGGGGTTGGTGTGGGTGAGACAGAGAGCGGGGTTGGTGTGGGTGAGACAGAGCGGGGTTGGTGTGGGTGAGACAGAGCGGGGTCAGTGTGGGTGAGACACAGCGGAGTCGGTGTGGGTGAGACATAGCGGGGTTGGTGTGGGTGAGACAGAGCGGGGTTGGTGTGGGTGAGACAGAGCGGGGTTGGTGTGGGTGAGACAGAGCGGGGTTGGTGTGGGTGAGACAGAGCGGGGTTGGTGTGGGTGAGACAGAGCGGGGTTGGTGTGGGTGAGACAGAGCGGGGTCGGTGTGGGTGAGACACAGAGCGGGGTCGGTTTCAGGACCGGTTCAGGATTCAGTCGCCACTGTTGTCAGCCGTGGCTGGGGAATCGAACTCAGGTTGTCAGGTCCGCAGTGCACCACCAGCACCACTTTGCATTTGTTTTATGCACACGCAGACACTCACACAGACAGATATACAGACACAACAACAACAACCGTCACTAAGTGGTGGCGACGTCACCACGGCGCTTGTGTCCGTGCTAGGTCAGGGGGTAGTGCTAGGTCACGGGGTCGTGCTAGGTCACGGGGTCGTGCTAGGTCACAGGGTCGTGCTAGGTCACGGGGTCGTGCTAGGTCACGGGGTCGTGCTAGGTCACGGGGTCGTGCTAAGTCAGGGGGTCGTGCTAGGTCACGGGGTCGTGCTAGGTCAGGGGTCGTGCTAGGTCACGGGGTCACGCTAGATCAGGAGGTCGTGCTAGGTCAGGGGGTCGTGCTAGGTCACGGGGTCGTGCTAGGTCACAGGGTCGTGTTAGGTCACGGGGTCACGCTAGGTCACGGGGCCGTGCTAGGTCACGGGTCGTGCTAGGTCATGGGGTCGTGCTAGGTCATGGGGTCGTGATCGGTCACGGGGTCGTGCTAGGTCAGGGGGTCGTGCTAGGTCACGGGGTCGTGCTAGGTCACGGGGTCGTGCTAAGTCAGGGGGTCGTGCTAGGTCACGGGGTCGTGCTAGGTCAGGGGTCGTGCTAGGTCACGGGGTCACGCTAGATCAGGAGGTCGTGCTAGGTCAGGGGGTCGTGCTAGGTCACGGGGTCGTGCTAGGTCACAGGGTCGTGTTAGGTCACGGGGTCACGCTAGGTCACGGGGCCGTGCTAGGTCACGGGTCGTGCTAGGTCATGGGGTCGTGCTAGGTCATGGGGTCGTGATCGGTCACGGGGTCGTGCTAGGTCAGGGGGTCGTGCTAGGTCACGGGGTCGTGCTAGGTCACGGGGTCGTGCTAGGTCACGGGGTCGCGCTAGGTCAGGGTTTCGTGCAACA